ACGATTTTAGCGCTAGCACCACCTTTTATGTGTTTTAACTCAGGCCAAAAACTGGCCAGGACGCGAAATATCGACTATTTTTGAACGTTTTCATTTGGCCACTATCGTGTTCAAAAATGATCAGAGCATCTTTAACGACGGAAACTTTTATTCTCTTTGCTTTTGAAAACGTTGAAAATGTACAACAAAGTCAGACAATTCTCGTAAGCTCTGCTAAACTTCGGCGAACAAACGCAAAAACAGTCGCCTTGCTTCAGGCCAACATCTTCGAGCTTTGGATTGACAAAACTATAGGTATAATTTGGGTACCAAACGATAGCGCGAGCTTTTGGATTTGTAATGAGTCATAATTTATATAATTATAATGCATATAGGTGTTATTATTGATTTCCGTCAGCCCTTACATTGGCACAATTTTTTGAAAAATGTCAATGTTCTAATAGAGCTACAAAAAATTGTACGCTAGTGTACGGTTTCGGACTACCACTGCACTGTGGGTCAAGGAGTTGTATACATGCCCTCTAAATTTCAGCTGCGCCTGACTGCGCCGGTGTTGGGGGTGAACACTTTTTTGAACGAGTCACGTCTGCTCCTGCTGAGCCATGGGACGGCTACTAGCGTGCGTCAAGGGAAAATGCTAGTATTCCTCGTTCATTCTCTCGTCTGTTGTGACGAGTTGGTGTCCCATGGAAGGTCGCCGACCTGTGTGCGACCTGTCGTACCCTGGGGCGTAATCAGCTGACGGCACGACCCCCCACGACACGTGCCAGCTGCATTTTCATGTGTCGCAAGAAGAAAACAAAAGGTCTCTGGAACCGGAGACCGGACAATGTCGGTGAATGACAGTCGTTCATTCAAAAACTGCTAGCATTCCTATGAAATATACGTTTCTTAAATATTAACAGCATTATCTGTGTAATTAATTAAGTATAGTACCTGTAGGTTTATAACAGGAACCTTCCACCCCATGGCTATTACAGTAAATTCATAGATGGGCTCTGGAGCTGTATGGTCGCTACACATAAGTGGTGTCGGTTTCAGAAAATATAATGTCCAATGTCCGTCCAATTTCCAATGCTTACGTCGATTGTCCGTCCAAAGTGTCCAAACCAGCCATTTGTCCAAAGATGTCCGAAACCTACGCAATAGTTTACACTCAACACTCCTATTTAATTTGTTTTTAATGTGTTATTACCAGCTTTAATGTGTTAATCGTCTCAAAAGCTGAGCTTTCTATTCGCCAATCAGTGTTAAACACGATTACTTTATAAAAAATGCTGAGGTGTAGCAAGTGATTGTCCAAAGTTGTCTAAAGTCTGCCGTCATTGCATTGTCCAACCGAATTCCGAACTGGACATTGGGACAAAACCGGAATTCCGAAGATTCAAGTTCCGATTGACACCACTACTACACATGCTTGCTTGATACCTAGTTTATAAACATATTTTCGTACTTGATGAAGCGCAATTAAATATTCATTGTGCCCAGTTTGAGATGGGACTGTGAGCTGAAAGGTGACTGTAGAGACCTGCCACAGAGCACTGATCACGATGATCGGCTTTTGGTCGTCCATTACCTGTTTACGTTCGGCAGGGCTACCATCGGCTTCTTCAGTCAGTATTCATACGTTCGATGTAGGTGGTATGGTATAATGGTATCATTAGTGCTGTCCACCTTTATGAAAAAGCATCCGTTTGCTGCAGTAAGCGTCAGTTAGTATGGCGAGGAAGTGCTTTTACATGCATGTTACATGTTACATAACGCACCATACAATAGGAATTGGTAAGAAGTTTTGGGATACATTCTACTATTTCACGTCATGCGATGGCGGATCCAGTGAAGGGCATAGTGGGTATTTGACCTCCCCATAGCTGAATCGTGTGGGCAAGACTATCCTTTTGCCGCTCCCAAAGCTTTTGGTGATGATAAATACCTATAATACGGCGTCGATGCCTATCTGGATGAAAGGCAGGTCTTTCCGTCACAACCATTCTAAGGGATGGAGCTGACCGCTCGCTGCTGATAACAGATGGAACTCCCCGAACTGCACACAGGCAGATTGCAGACGTAGTGAAGCGTCGTAAAGTTACCGGCGCGGCGGTGGGTCGTGGTCACCGAATGGGTCGGAAACTTTTGCCCTCTTCAAACGGATAAGCCATGGATCCGCCCCTGACATCATGTGACGTAAAACATACAAGACTCTGGACTTAATAAAGTGGAGACAGGGTTAACATCAAGGTAATATCAAAACATACGTTTGAAAATGTTTTTGAAATAAATATAAATATTGTAGGTACCTACCATATGAATAAGTCTTATACCTATAAGAGCATTAAAGGTCACCTGAGGTCATCAACGCTAATTAACAAGGTCATGTCCTCAACCTTGACTTGCCTCGTCGATGAGCCTTGCTCAGACTTACCATTACTCTAAATTTACAGATACCTAAATGCTCGTGCATTCATAGCTAGAACATGACACTATTTGTATATGTTTCGTGACACCTGTGACGTCATAAACAAGTACATAAGCATCTGGTCCGAAACATTTTGCACTTCGAATGATTGTTAGTCTCCAACGTTTCGTTTGAGCCAAAAAACACGTCTGTATCTCATATAGTTTCTTAGTTACGAGCCCTGGCCAGTTTTGGTCCCGAGTTAAAACATAGTGCACCGTGGCTAGCGCCTACATTTGACCCGTATGACAACTCGTAGGCTGCACAAAAAACATATGGAAGCAAAATTGATGTCCAAAAATGCCTATTTCAATGTTCATCAGAGACAGAAGGCTGTTAAGTGTTAAGCTTGTCAATAACAATGCCGATTACGAATATGTGAAAACTGCATGGAAACCTATGGCCAAAACGTACGAAAAAAATGCATTGACGACCGCATGAACAGTTGACAGACAGTATTTGAAGCACTCTTGGTACAGAAGAACAGTGAATCACTGCTGTAAATCACTGCTGATGCATCGCATTATTATAGCTTTTTTTGCTGTTGCAGTGATGCATAAGGTGCAGGTTCTTTTATACGGAAGACTGTTCGTTGTGTTCGATGAATTCATCTTGCAAGCGAAAAATTGCAGTTTTAAGCTGTCATTTCTTTGAAGTGCACCTATCATGATTAAAAATATAAATGCGCTCAAAATTACGATTTTCACTTCTCATTGTTTTGGGATAACACTGTGTAAAAATGAAATAGATTTATCCCGAAGTAAGAGCTGCATTCAAATTTTCGTGTGGACGTTATTTCCAATGACGCTCGCTGGCGCCAAAATCGTACGATTTTTTTTTTAACGTACCACCATTCCTGCTAAATACAACCGATTCGCATGAAACTTAGCCCACTTACTTCTCATTGCATTCTTTAAGTATCGTATAAATTTCAGACGAATTAGATAAAAGTTGCAAATTATATTGAAGATTATTTGGGTAAACTTTTTCCGGACAACCTTTATTTGTCTCGGACGGTAGGCGCGGGGCGAAATGAACGGGGCAAAGTGGCCAGCCCCCAATTGGCCCTACTTTGCTTTCATCTGAACAACAAACGTTATTGATATTGAAATGTCCCTATCGTCATGCGTTTCTTTCGGCCACTTTTCGGTTACATGAGTCACCAAAAAATGCAATATACACTGCTTCTCTATGAGTGTTCTTGCTTTGTTTAGCTACAGGTGGGAATATGACAATATAAACATCCATCCTCGTTTAAACCTTATTGCCATCAACAACTCTAGTCGTAGTATGAGAAAACTATCCTGTTCCTCATGTAGGGGCAAATAAATCGCCGGTGTCCACTTTGCCCCGACTCCGAAGTCCGAGGGTTGGGACAAAGCGGCCAATATGCATAGGTGTAAAGTCTTGCCACTATCTGTGAACGCCCTTAGATATGAAATTAAGTTGAAATGAAAGACAATTTAAGAGGGATAACGTTGACATAAGAAGAATCTTTCCAGGTCTGAAAGTGAAGCGTCGGTCGGCATGTTAGCCCTCGCATGTGTGCGGCGTTTGCCAGCGTCTAATGCGTAGGAGGGAGGTCGGTTGGACGATTGGGCCCTCCTCCCCTGCCGTTCGGCTCCTGATCGAACTAGAACTTCGCGGAAAAAATGAGCGTGCTGCCCGTGACGAGCGGAAGCCGATGATACCCAATTTTAAGGTCCTAGGTCATTGGTTGACCTTCCAGGTCAGGTCAATGACCCAAAAGTCGGGAAAATCGGGACCTGCTAGAACTTCGTAAAGTGAAGCTGTTATGTTTTTCGGGGTGCTGATCACGAAGTTCATGTTAGTTTTGATCACAGATGATGTCTTCATGCATTTAGGCCAAGTTGGGTCAGGTCAGGTCAGGTCGACCAGTAGGCGTCCTGACGGCTAGCCATTGTAGGTGTCAACTACCACTGACGGCGTCGTTACATGTTACGAAGGCACTAAAACTATTACGTAAATGTTCAAATGGCCACTAAATTCGAAATCAGCTCGAAAAACTACCCTAGAAACATGTAAAACTCGAAAAGTGAACCGAGGTCATCAAAGGTCAATGACCTGACCTGACCTTCAGGTGACCTTGACACCCACGGTAATGCGTGGGACGAACATCATTTTACATGTCTGGACGTTCATAATCACAAAAAGACTGGAAACGCACGGATAATGTGAGCTGACATACGTCAAATTGCGATTCCGGCCGTACATGGTCTCGAGAATCAGGTCACAGGTCAAAGTTCATTTGGGTCAGGGTCATGACATTTTTAGGGTAGGTGTAAAATTGATCAACTCCAGGGTACTAAGAGTTTCGACGCGATCGGCTGCTTTTTGCGCGAGTTATTTGCGAAAAACCATGGGGGTCCATCCAACCCCCCCTAAACATGCGGGGGTTCACAAACAATAGGGTGGCCGCTTTGCCCCGGTCCCCCCACACATAACAAACTTTCGGGGCCATATAGGCCAGTGGCGCGACGTGAGTTACGCGTATATCTCGGACGAGACAGCAAAATCGGAGTAATTCAGTTCGGCGACATTTATTTTTCGCCTAATAGGTATATCATTATTTTGTTATTGTTTCAGGCTACTGGAGCAGCAGCATTAGCAATGTAGCAGCAAGCGCCACTCCGCTCATGCCTCAGAGCGGATCACAATCCGTGCCTGCCTACCTGCAGAGCAATATTATGCACCATGCGAAAACAGCAACAAATAGACGCTGAAACTAAACACAACGAAGCCTATTGATTGTGGCACACTCTGCTGAAGTATGCAACATATAAGATGTGGATTGTGGCATGGTACCGATCAGTTTTTTTTTTTTCAAACGGTTACCGCTTCGTATCTCGGCAATGTAATGTGTCCCGAGTTCCTACCAGTAGTGTCACACAGCTTTAAGTTAAGACTGCAGACATGACATCATGTACATCATGTAGCACATCACTGTTTCAGCGCGTCACACAGCACTTGTAACAGAACATAACAGTCTCATCATCAGTGCAACACTATTTGACTTCAGATTTTGACTTGTCGTCGTTGATCTTTTTCTCGAACTTTTTGAATTCGTCCTCGATAACTTCGTCCGCCTCGTCCATGACTTGTTCCACCGAGACAACCTGTAACACCAGACACACTATATCAGACACAAACCGTAACAACTTTGTCCGCCTCGTCCATGACTTGTTCCACCGAGACAACCTGTAACATCAGACACACTATATCAGACACAAACCGTAACAACTTCGTCCGCCTCGTCCATAAACTGTTCCACCGAGACAACCTGTAACATCAGACACACTATATCAGACACAAACCGTAACAACTTCGTCCGCCTCGTCCATAAACTGTTCCACCGAGACCACCTGTAACATCAGACACACTATATCAGACACAAACCGTAACAACTTCGTCCGCCTCGTCCATGACTTGTTCCACCGAGACCACCTGTAACATCAGACACAAACCGTAACAACTTCGTCCGCCTCGTCCATAAACTGTTCCACCGAGACAACCTGTAACATCAGACACACTATATCAGACACAAACCGTAACAACTTCGTCCGCCTCGTCCATAAACTGTTCCACCGAGACAACCTGTGACATCAGACACACTATATCAGACACAAACCGTAACAACTTCGTCCGCCTCGTCCATAAACTGTTCCACCGAGACAACCTGTGACATCAGACACACTATATCAGACACAAACCGTAACAACTTCGTCCGTCTCGTCCATGACTTGTTCAATAGAGACAACCTGTAACATCAGACACACTATATCAGACACAAACCGTAACAACTTCGTCCGCTTCGTCCATGACTTGTTCCATAGAGCCAGCCTGTAACATCAGACACACTACAGGGTGTCCGAAAATTGATTGCGCACTGTCCATATTCACGTATCTCGCACGTGCTCCCGCCAAACCGGTTAGAGAGGTTCGTCCGTCTCGTCCATAAACTGTTCCATAGAGACCACCTGTGACACTGGAGGATATGACATCAGACACACAACAACTGACACAACATTGCGGATACTGACATCGGACCGTGGACACACATCGGCCGATACCGGGCCCCGAGAGACGAGCTCCACTAGGGGCCGATACTGGGCCCCGAGCGACGAGCCCCACTGGGGGCCGCCTCTCGCCAGTCCCAGTGGCACCGAGACGAGCTCCACTGGGGCCGCCTCTCGCCAGTCCCAGTGGCACCGAGAGACGAGCTCCACTGGGGCCGCCTCTCGCCAGTCCCAGTGGCACCGAGAGACGAGCCCCACTGGGGGCCGCCTCTCGCCAGTCCCAGTGGCGTGACTGTCAGCTCGGAACGGCGAAATGTGAAACAGACCATGAGGAGTCGGTACTTGGTCCCAGAGGCGGATGGAGGACCGATTGGGCTAATACCGAGGGTGAAGAGATACTATACTATTGGAGGCGGAGCCATACTAAGGGTGGAGAGAACGGATGCACCGCTCCAGTCGTTGCCGTCGCTCCCCCCCCCCGCCCCGCCCTCCGTCCGTACTCCTCCCCCACCTGTTCCGCACCTCGGGCACGTAGAACTGCAGCATGTTCTGGACGCCGTTCTTCAGCGTGACCACCGAGCTGGGACAGCTGGTGCACGAGCCCTGCATCTTCAGACGCACCACGCCGTCCTCGAAGCCCATGAAGACGATGTCGCCGCCGTCCTCCTGGACCGTGGGACGGATACGTGTGTCCAGCAGCTCACGGATCATGGCCACCACCTCGTCCTCGTCGCCGCTCTCCGCGCCATCTGTCGGAGAAAAATACAACTACAGATCGCCGCTCTCCGCGCCATCTGTCAGACATGGACACAACTATAGATGCACGGAGACGCCGACAGGCCGGGCGGGCAGAGGCTGAACCGGCTGAACGTGACAATACGAGGATTGAGATTGAGATTGAGATTGAGATTGATATAGTATCCCGTGGTGGTATGTATATGTAGCTTTACAGCTTTACTATCTCCAAATTATCATTGTTAATTCATAACGTTATAAAACCCGAGAACGGTAGGTACGGGGACCCGCAGTTGCTACTGTACAGCGACCCTGAGTAAATTGTCCCAGCACCCTCACAGGGAACAACGATAAGCTGTCAGAGGGCACGCACAGAAAACCTCAGCTGCCCTTGTACAGGGACCAGCAGTCGATATCAATGTTATCCGTTGTTACTGGACAGGGCAGACGGCTAGAGTTGGGGTTCGTGTACAGTAGCAACTGCGGGTCCCCGTACCCAGTGACGTCATCTCGCCTTCCCAAAAAGTAACCCACTGACGTCATCACACCTTGACGTCCGTCGGCGGCGTCGTAGGCGGCCTGGTGTACGACGGGCAGTCCCGACGTGAAAAAGTCCATCAGGGTGGCGAAAATCTCCGGTTTGATGACCTTCCACTCCACCTCGTCATCAATCTTACCACCGGGAGGGAGGGCAGGGTGGGTGTGAGTACGGAGACGGAGACACACAGGGAGACGGAATACACAGAGGGAGTCTGAGACGGGACATAGAGACAATATCAGTGTAGAGACACCACTTGTGACGGAACAGACACAGAGGGGATCGGGAGAGACAATGTGAAAGTCAGTCAGCACAGATACAAGGAGAATGTTGGAGGAGAAGGAAAATAACGTTAGGAGAACGTAAGGAGAGGCACAAAAAGAGCCTCAGAAGAAACGCAGAAAGAATGTCAGTATAGAGGTAAACAGTAAAGACACACACGGGGAGTGTCGGAAGATACGCAGGAACGTCAGTATGACACACCATTACGACGACTGGCATGTCGCTAGCGTGACTATGTTCAGGATTAGACTCCCCATAGGAAGCGCCGCATGCAGCTGGTTTGTGAGTGAAATCAGCGATAATTTCCCTTCACGACACACAAAAACATATTGCTTAGTATCCTTAGCTTATCCATCAGAGGTATCAATGGGGTAAACGATATTCACGATCAGAGTTGCAGTGCCTCGGTTACAGTCGCAATGACACACGGTGCCCCTATACAGTCTAGAACACAACATCCACTGTCTACTCCCGATCTAAAAAAATGTGACGAGGCTTACTCCTCTAAAAAGTCACGGCCTTACTCCTCGTCACTGCGGAAAGGGTCGAGGGTCACACACGAATCTTAGTGCCTGACCTTGGTGACCGTGATGAAGTTTGGGGCGAGGAAGACGGACTTGACGCCCGGGATGCGGAAGAGCAGCTTGGCCAGCGGCGAGTGCTGCGCCGTGGCCACGGTGGGGAAGTCGAGCGTGCCGCCCTCCTCCAGCACCTACCGACAGAGCGGGGGCACGACGTCAGTGACTGCCTTCTGGTCATCTGACCATCCCTAACCTGCAAACACGGGGATGGGGGCTGGACAGCCTCATTCTGAATTGAACTCTTCACGCTGAATTAAAAGCAGGGTCTGGCGAAATCGCTGTCTTGTTTAATTTCGCTGAAAACGCTCGTCCCAAACAGAAACGTGACATTTTTCGATGAAAGCTAATTTGGAAAGGTTAAGAGCGTAGTATCGTCAAGCTTAATGGGTGCAGCTGCAGTGCATGACAAAAGAGCTATGCAGTTTTAACGTGACCATCCCACCTTAACCCGCGCACCGACGGGGGGGGGGGGGCGGATATCCGCCCCCCCCTGAGGTTTTTCGCGAATAGCGGGAAAACCGCGGCGCGTAGCGCCGCGAAATTTGGTATGACTATAACCTTATCAATTTTACACATGGTGTGCAAGTTTGAACTTCCTACCTTTTAAGGTCAGGTCACCAGGTCACTTTGAATGACCCAACCTCAAGTCACTTTTTTGCAACTTTGTCACCGTGCCACAGCTACAGTATACGAATACTGCATGGGGGAGCGGGCAATAGCAAAAAGTATTGCCCGATGTGACGTCACTGTCGCCCGAGGGTGAAGACCGAAATAAGTGCTATTGTCCGAGGCGAAGCCGAGGGCAATAGCACTTGTGGAGGTCTTCACCCGAGGGCGACAGTGACGTTACAGAGGGCAATATTTTTGCTATTGCCCGCTCCCCCATGCAGTATTCGTTTTATTACATGGCAAACTCTCGGAATCTTTACTTAGTACTCATTCATCCCGTAATAAAAAATATCAAAACACAAATATCATGGTACAATTGAATGTATTGGATATACAATCATAGCCACGTCACATGTCTACGGCACACACTTAGTTGCTTTACATGTTAAAGTTGATATAGCACTCACTACGTTGATATAGCAATAGCACTCACTACGCCGTACTTGAGAGTGTGGAGACTCTTCGATTTGTAGCGTTCACCGTCCTTGCGTTTTACAGTAATGAAGAACTCCTTCACAGCGTTGTCCAGGACATCGTTGCTGTGCATGCAGCTTTCAACAGATATGCCTTTTACTTGCAAGAACTCAATGAAGACGTCTTCTGCTGATTTAATCACCTTTTTTAGTGCCCTGAGCCCTGCGCGATGAAAATAGCTCATCCAATTAATGCGGCTCCAACAAATTAAATCGGGGTATTTGAACGGACATGTTCAAATGACGGCCCAGTTCTTGATGACTTGACTAGCCAATCACGAAATCAAACTGAACAGTCTGAGAAAACGACGATAAAATTACGACATTTGAATTTTTGTTCAAACACCACTGCGCGAGCAACTTACTATTGACCGTTGACATGGCAACCGCTTCTCACCTTCAGAAAGGTCAGTAACCTGACACTGAAAGGTCAGTAACCTGATGTCGGGCAATAGTAAAAAATATCTCATGCCAAATTAACACAGGAGCCATGTAATAATAGATGTTGGAGGCCTTTGAAAGTCGCAGGATATTATTATGTCATTAGTAGCTACAATTTGTATATCTCGGAATTTTTATATCGGTGACCTAAGGTCAGGTCAATTTCGCGACCTCCCCATTATAAGTCAATGGGGGAAAAATCAACTCCCTGTTTTTACCACTAAAACGGGTCGGAATAGCCCCATATACTTTACATGACTTCATATACGATCAACCTTCACTACCTTGAGGTCTGTTTTGCTGTTGGGCAGCTGTGAGGTCATGTGACGTCATCAAAGGTCACCAAAGGTTTTTGGCCAATAACTCCGTACAGGAACAAGATACAGACGCGTGGATGGTCTCATTGTGTTCAGCTCGTCAAGACGCATCGAATGATATACATGATGACCTCGAGGTTACGTGACCTGAGGTCAACCTTTGACCTTGACCTTTCGAGGTCAACATATATATATCATTCGATGCGGATTGACGAGAGGATCACGATGATGCCCTTAGTTTGTTCCTATCCTGACTAATTCGAAAGTTATTCGAGAAAAACTCTCTCCATATCTAGCGCCACCATTTTGACTTTTTCGACCCCTGTGACGTCATCTTTGACCTGACCTGAAAATGACCTTAGTAAAAATTGTAGATCTTGGCCGTGCATATCCGATGCCGTTTACCGCTTGTCGCTATCTTGCTTCGTTCTCGAGATCTCAGGGGGGGGGGCGGTAATCCGCCCCCCCCCCGTCGGTGCGAAGTTGGCGCAGACCCCCGTCGGTGCGCGGGTTAACATTCCAGGTGAGACAAGGTAACATTACAGGTGTAGTTTCGAGATGAGACAGCCAAATGTATAGCTTATTTGCTTATTTGTTTATTTTGTTTAATGAAAAAAATCCACGGGCATGGGCAGTGGGCACCCAATAACGGATTCAGTCACAAACATAAAACTTATACAAATGCAAATATAGTTAAAAACAAGACTGTAAACATACACTAATCACTACGCATTGTTGAGTTGAGACAGCCCTGGCTCGCAAATACCGGTTTGGATGCTCACCGCATCGAGAGATGCCTTAAGTCGGAAATATTTAATTGTTAAGTCTGCAGCACTCAAATTCAGAAGGGCTAATGCATTTGAATGCCCCCTCTGACTTTGTGACGTCACCGCAGATCTAGCGATTTTTCAATATTTTACTAAAACCTTGGGAAAATTGACAATTGTTGCTGTGGTAGTACGTACTGCCTTGCGCGCAACATTTGTCGCACTTCTAAGACACCTATGATTGCTTCCAAATGACGTTATAGGAACAGCGGAGGCAAAAAATAAACAAGAAATAAAAGTCTAATTTCTCAAAAACCGGTAATATTTTTTGTGTGAAATTTGGTTGATGTTTATTTGATTTCCGGTCTTTCTCAACCACGGTACATCACTTTTGTGCCAATTCATTAACTTCCTTGAAGGTGGGAGGGTACCTTTAACTCGACTCCGGAGTTTGAATCGGTAAGATTTTGGCGACTCCGACTACGGCTCAGGGCAGGACTGACGACTCTGACCGACCGACTCCGACTCAGACTCCGCAGTCCTGCAGCATGCTATTCCCACATTCCCACAGCCCGCAAATATCGCTCCTCGGACCGACCAGTCTGCCCCCCCTCCCCCAGCGTACCGTTCTTCCCGGAAGGAATTTGAGGCTGTTGGGGTTCGGCGTCTCCTGCGTCTGGATGAACATGGTGCGAGCCGGCAGCAGTGCCGGGGCGCACACCCTCGGGACCAGTAGAGCGGCCGGAGTACGCAGAGACGACACACTGAGGGACAGAAAGGGAGCTTTTTTCACCAATCCCATTACTCTAACACATCCAATGGGGTGAGCAAGGAGGCAACCAAACCAGAGCTTCCTCAACTTTGTATGAAGTGTGCCAACTTTATTTAATTAATGAGCACCAAAGTAATTAAGAGCTGAGGTTAGCAGCAGAGTTACAAAACAGTTATATAATCTTCCAGACATTAGTGATATCCCCATGGCCCATAGCCTGCTTCCTTTCCAAAATTCAAATCCTTACAGTGCAGAGTCCCTTCCCTTAGTCCCCCCGGGCAACACTGCAGTAGGTAGGTCACTTGGCCACTTGGCCTATAGGTCCTGTTCTCACCAAGTTGCTTTGCGGTGACATTCAGGACTCTCAAGGTTTTGGCATGACATACATTAGGTGTGTCCAGTGACAGTCAAGTCGTGCCTTGAATATTGAGAGCGTTTCACTTTCGGCAGACACAACTTCAGCAGGTACAGCGTTCCAGTCATTGACGATACGGACGCTGAAGCCGCTTCGTCAAGTGAGTGTCACAGCTTAATACAAAACATAACTTAAAGGGACTATCCCACCTTCAAAAAAGTCCCGTTTAGGATTCGGAAATGTTACTCAGGGTATTGTGACGAATTCTGCAAGTTATTACGCATTTTCACACTATACTTTTTAAGATATTTCGACTTTTATATTTCATCGTGACGTCATTTAGATCGGATCTGTGACGTCATGAAGGATTTACTTCATGCCAATGAGGGGGGAAATTTGGCAGCAAATGTATTTGCTTTCAAATATGACGCGGCTCATACAATAACAAAAGTGTCTCTGATTTGGCATTTTGTAGTTGGCAATATGATACCTTACTGATGCCTAGTCAATGTAAGTTTGTTGGACTTCCTGCACATATAATTCAGATACTAACACCACAATTCACATAGGAAAGGAGCATATTTTCACCATTACTTTTAACATGTTTGTGTCAATTTTAGATAGGTACAAAGTGAACAAGTCTGAAATCTGGATGAAAATAACAAACAATCTTTCCTGAACTAACCTTACCTACTTTCCTAAAATGTTTGTAATACTAACCTAAAGCCTCCATGCCAGATGCCTATTCAACCTACAAACCTTTCAACCAGCGTACTACATAACACCTCACAAGCTATTCCATTCCGAACTTATTGATTAGGATCTTTATTCTTTGGTATGCTTTTACTCATTTCATCTTAGCTTGCTATCATGCAGGTATCTAAAGAAATGTTTTGTTTTTCCTTCTTAGCTGTTGAAATTTCTTAAAAGCCAACAAGACACACCATGCAGTAAGCACATGACAGAGGTCTCTGTCACTGCATGAGGAAACTCGCAATGCTGCTTGCAGGCTGTTGACAGAAAGTGATCAGTAAGTTATGACTTTTGCATACTACTATAATTTTTTTTTGTATACAAGGAGTTTGTCAGAGATTGAACATGTCTCAGCATCATATTTGAATACTGATAATTATATACACGAGCATTGGCCCATCAATTGAAACTTGAAAGGTAGATAAGTGCGTAGCAAAATGGGTTCATGAAGAGTAAATTGCCTATATAAAACATGCAATGTTCACTATATAACATACTGCATAAAAAACGTAGCCTGCTCCATAAAAATGTAGTCTGTTGACTGTTCCATGTCATTTTTGCGCCTATGGTCAAAGCCGCTTCTTCAATTTGCTTCTTCATTCAGTGCGGGGATGCAGCCAAGGGGGTGTCCACGGCCCACGGGTGTCATGGTCTCCCCCTGAAGGTGAAAAATAAAATAAAATAAAAAATTAAAATAAATTAAAACAGCTGCACCACACCCCCAAAAATAGTGGGCCAAATCCGAGGAGTTTTCCTTTTGAAGGGGGTACGACAATAGGCCCCGACCTGTGGCCCCTCCCTCAGCAAAATCTTGCCTATGGTCCAATAATTTGTGTCTATGCTATATTTCTCTGACTATTCTATACAGGAGCTATGCAATCCTGTTTTATTTCTAGGTTCATGCAATTCTGAGGTGAAACATTTTCCTGGCGTGGTGGCACTTTGTCAGTGTGGGGTGAGGTAGGTGTGGCTGTGATGTGGCTGACCCTGTCGGGTACCACTCCCCCTGACCCGCCCGCGCGTCCCGTCAGGTTGCCGTGTGGTGCGGCGCTCCGCCAGCTGCTGCGCCGGGGTTAGCGGCGCTCAGCAGCTATCAGCTGACACGGCGCGCCGTGCTCGATCGCCGCGGCGCATGTGCCGCTGCGCGACGCGCCGGGCGCCGACGGCCGTCGTCTGGCAGCAACAGCGCTGCCAGTGACTCGCTCTGCTGCTGCAGAAACTGGACAAGGATCGTAGAATCGTGGCGTTCCATCCGTAAAAGTCGATCCCAGGCGGCCTAGTCGGAGAACAGGCCTAGTCGCCGGGCTGTCAGCCACCGAATAGCAACTGGCGCATCGCAACTCGGAGCTGGCCGCCCCGCCGAGGCTGAGCACACCACACCCTGGAGGACCTGCGCGCGCGCCTCTCCGAGCTGGAGCAGGAGAGCGGGAGACGCGCGGCTGACCTGCGCCTGGAGCAGGGGCGCACGCGGCTGGTCGAACAGGCGCGCAGGTGCAGCGGCGACTCGAGAAACAGGCTGAGTGTGAGGTGTCCTCCAGTCAGCAGGCCGCCGCTCAGATGTAGATTCTCAGGCTCACTGCCAGACTGTGGGGCGGCGCGCGCCACGCCACTTCAGCACGAGCCTGTGATCTTGTAAACTGTGAACACTGCCAGTTCGGAATTAAAAGAGTAAAATCAGTGAACGTTCACTTCGGCTTCATCGACGAGAGCAGCCATCCATGCGCGGCGCGCGCCGCCCCCGGCCGCCGCCGCCGTCGCGGCTGCTGTGCGGCAACACGTTTTGTTGCCGGTTCAAGTGTGCTGAGATCTTCGTCTGTCTCAGCAATGTGTATGATGGGGCGGCCCGCGACCCGGCGGTGTTTTTCGCGACGCTGCCGGCCTTGCAGAACGGTGTGCGACCTGCGGTGCCGGTGGCTGATTGCGGCCCGGCGGCCGGCCGTCCGGGACCCGCGCGCTCACCACGTCCTGTCCTGCTGTGATCAAACTGTGAACTCGGCGCGACACGACTGGCGAGCGCCGAGTGTGTGTTTATGTGAGTATGTATATGTGTGTGGGAGAGGGGCGGCGGCAGTGGCCTGCCGCGCCACGCCGCCCGGGGAGTGTCCGCCGCGTATTTTGTGTGCTGTAGCCGTCCCTCGGTCCTCGCTCGATGTGCCGGCCGCCAGTGACGCTGCCTGCAGGACTGACGGGCGACGGCGGCCGGCTGGTATTCAGCTGTGCCCGGGTCGTTGGCGTCTGCCACCAACCGAGAACGGACCTGTGAACCGTGGCCAATTGCCGCAGACGCTGCCCTCTTAATGAATGTTGCTCGCCGTCGTGGACTCCACGAATCCCATGACATTGTCGTTCCCTTCACCAGCTAGGAGAGATACCGCAAACGTGTTGTTCGTTTCATTGAGCTGCGCACCATTGAGTGCGCCGAGACTGACGTTATTTATCTGAATATTAATATATCCCTAAAATTATATGCCACTTTCAGTGAAAGCATACAAGTTCAAGTTCAAGTTCATTTATTCACGTTAATCCGCCTTCGCGGCTTTTCATCAACGCATGTCAATTAGCATAAAAACAAGTAGGCATGGGTAAAATACAGGCACACGATCATTCGTACACATCGTTAGAACAGTTGGTATGTAGGTTGTGGGTATCATGAGATCACGATGACTGTTTGTGTAGCATATGAGTTAAGGCGTAACAGGCTGTGGCGGCGGCCTGTTACGCCCTGTGTTTTGCGCATCCGCAAAACACAGGGTACGCATGAAAACTCATTCGATTGCTGTATATAAGAAACGAGACAGAGACGGGAAGGAATGTCACACCCGGGTGGCCGCAGGCGGCGCGCACACACTGGTTCCACTAAATCGTAGAAGAGCCACCGTCAACGCAATAAAATGGATATTAGATATCACAAAAACAAACGGCGCGGGCAGCTCGTGGCGGCGCAGTCGTCGGTCTCTCATCGCTGCACCACATTGAACATGTCGCGCACTGTGTTGGCTAGTTTGAATAAGAGCCGCTGGGCGTCGCTGCTGTTGCGCGCCCGCCGGCCGAGAGCAGAGTGCCGGCGTGCGTCTCCAGGCGCCGCTGCAGGGCGCGGAACCGGAGCCAGCCGGTGGACGGCACCTGGCCAGCGTGCGCGCCGCACGCCGTCAGCAGCAGGCCCAGCTTGTCCGACAGCCGCATGCACGCCACGCTGGAGGCGGACGATGTCTCCAGCGCGCCCTGGCTGCGCTCCACGGCCGCGGCCAGATCGCGCACGGCCTCCGCCGAGCTGCCGGCGCCGGCCGAGCGGCTGCAGCCGATCGGCGGCGCGCTGGTCGGGTGCGGCGGCGGTTTGAGAGTCCCGCTTGGCAGATGTGAAGCAGCGGCGGTAGAGGCTGCGGCGACGGCCGTGCGTGCGCGGACTGGGCACCGGGTGGCCGGCGGTATCACGGGACCGCCGCTCGACAACTGGTCCCTCAGGCCCGGCGGCGTCGGCGGGAACGTCGGGTCGACGATAAAGTCGGCCTCGATGTCGTCAGGAGGCGGCAGTTCCATCGGCGGCGGGGGAAACCCCAGCTCGGCAGGTTTTAGTTTCTGGCGCGACGACGGCCGGCGCCGGTCGGTCGCCGACTCCGCGCCGGCCCCGTCCCCGCCGCGCCGGCAAACACTAGCGGACTGAGCCGCGACAGCCGCGGTCTCTGAAACTCACTGTTGGACGAGTTGGACCGCACCATGGCTGAGGGCTTCTTGGCGGCGGCGGCGGAGGCCGGCGGCCGCACGCCCTCTGCTTCCGTGTGACTGCGCAGGGCGCGGGCCTCGCCTGCCGCTCCCGCGGCCGCCTCGCCACCCTCCGCACTGCCGCGCAAACCGCTCTCCCGCAGCGAGTCCAGGAAGGCGCCGATGTGCGCGCCTTTGGGCAGCGTACCGTACCGCATGAAGGACTCGTTGACGTGGTGCTCCTCCAGCGGCGCCACCTGCCGTTCGTCCTGCTCGTCGTCGGGGACGCCTGCTCGGGTCATCAGCAGCGGCCGGTACCTTCGGCAGCGGCTCCTCTGCAGGGGCCTCCTCCAGCTCGGAGTTTTGACAGCTAGGAGCGCTGTGAGCTCGCTTTGCGCGGCGGCTGCGCCGGCGACGCCCTCCGAGTCCTCGGCCACCTCCTCCGTGTACGAGCTGTCCCGCAACGAGCTGTGGCGTGAACAGGGGGCGGGGACGGGGAACGGTCAGAGCTGGGGCGTGCACAGGAGGGGTTTGGACACGGTCAGAGCTGGGGTATATGCGGGAGGGCGGGGGGCGTGGACTATCGCAACTGCGCCAATCGAAAATGCGACCGAGTCATATCCATACCCTTGAAACAAAAAGTTATAGAATTGTGACGTTACACTCAAAACACGACAAAGTATATCTCTACTCTAGTCTCTATGCTTTAACCCTCGCCTGCACATGCCATTTTCCCATCCTAGAACGCACATTGGGGGGTGGGGGTGGTTGCCACCCCCCCCCCCGCGCCATTTCGTTCCTGTTGGAGATAGAGCTTCGCGGTAAGGACCAAAACGATTTTTTGGGAAGAGACGAATCCAATGATACTCAGTTTTACCTTCTCAGGTCAGTCATTGACCTTCCAGGTCAGGTCAAACTAAAAAATGTTGCTTTTTGGGGCCACCGTTGGAATATCACGTGCTGTGCCCATCATATACTGATCGTTTGTGGTGCCAAGCCAGCTAAAACAGCTCTTTGTCACACTATCCGACTAGATTTTTACTGGTTGTGGCCATTTCAGGTCAAGTTAGGTCAAGGTCAATGATATGTGTTTGTCTGTGTGTGTCTGTGTGTATACTGATGTGTGCACAGAATGGTTTGTGTGTCCCTATTACATGGCATCATAAACTGAGCTTTTACCAAAAAATGCAGCAAAAAACTTCATTAAAAGTTAACAGCTAGCCTAAAATGCAATGCTTTTAGATGACCAAGGTTGACATTGACCTTGACCCTGACATCTATACAACATCGAAAATCATGATAGATGAAAGGTAAGTCCAGCAAAAAAAAAAAATGAAATCAAGGTGTCAAAAGCTCACAAGAGCCATAGCCGACGATGTCCGTGAAGTTAGCGTCAGCAACAGCAACGAATACAGCGTCGGATTCAGAATCGCTTCAAAAACTGCCATCAGGTCAATTGGGGGACGGGGAACACGAATATGACATTTATTTTGCCCTAGCTCCCTTCCCTCATCCCTTAATCGTCCCTTAAAGGACGGGGCGCGTCAAAAGTGCCCCAAGGCTTCGTCTGATCGCCAAAATAATGGTCGCAATCGATTCCTCGGGTCAATATCTAACCTCAGTCGAAGGTTCCAGACCTGTGGCCCCCATCCCTCATCCCTTAATCGTCCCTTAAAGGACGGGGCGCGTCAAAAATGCCCCAAGGCTTCGTCTGATCGCCAAAATAATGGTCGCAATCGATTCCTCGGGTCAATATCTAACCTCAGTCGAAGGTTCCAGACCTGTGGCTCCTATCCCTCATCCCTTAATCGTCCCTTAAAGGACGGGGCGCGTCAAAAGTGCCGTAAGGCTTCGTCTGATCGCCAAAATAATGGTCGCAATCGATTCCTCGGGTCAATATCTAACCTCAGTCGAAGGTTGCAGACCTGTGGCCCCTATCCCTAATCCCTTAATCGTCCCTTAAAGGACGGGGCGCGCCAAAAGTGCCCCAAGGCTTCGTCTGATCGCCAAAATAATGGTCGCAATCGATTCCTCGGGTCAATATCTAACCTCAGTCGAAGGTTCCAGACCTGTGGCTCCTATCCCTCATCCCTTAATCGTCCCTTAGAGGACGGGGCGCGTCAAAAGTGCCCCAAGGCTTCGTCTGATCGCCAAAATAATGGTCGCAATCGATTCCTCGGGTCAATATCTAACCTCAGTCGAAGGTTCCAGACCTGTGGCTCCTATCCCTCATCCCTTAATCGTCCCTTAAAGGACGGGGCGCGTCAAAAGTGCCCCAAGGCTTCGTCTGATCGCCAAAATAATGGTCGCAATCGATTCCTCGGGTCAATATCTAACCTCAGTCGAAGGTTCCAGACCTGTGGCCCCTATCCCTAATCCCTTAATCGTCCCTTAAAGGACGGGGCGCGTCAAAAGTGCCCCAAGGCTTCGTCTGATCGCCAAAATAATGGTCGCAATCGATTCCTCGGGTCAATATCTAACCTCAGTCGAAGGTTCCAGACCTGTGGCTCCTATCCCTCATCCCTTAATCGTCCCTTAAAGGACGGGGCGCGTCAAAAGTGCCCCAAGGCTTCGTCTGATCGCCAAAATAATGGTCGCAATCGATTCCTCGGGTCAATATCTAACCTCAGTCGAAGGTTCCAGACCTGTGGCCCCTATCCCTAATCCCTTAATCGTCCCTTAAAGGACGGGGCGCGTCAAAAGTGCCCCAAGGCTTCGTCTGATCGCCAAAATAATGGTCGCAATCGATTCCTCGGGTCAATATCTAACCTCAGTCGAAGGTTCCAGACCTGTGGCTCCTATCCCTCACCCCTTAATCGTCCCTTAGAGGACGGGGCGCGTCAAAAGTGCCCCAAGGCTTCGTCTGATCGCCAAAATAATGGTCGCAATCGATTCCTCGGGTCAATATCTAACCTCAGTCGAAGGTTCCAGACCTGTGGCTCCTATCCCTCATCCCTTAATCGTCCCTTAAAGGACAGGGCGCGTCAAAAGTGCCCCAAGGCTTCGTCTGATCGCCAAAATAATGGTCGCAATCGATTCCTCGGGTCAAAATCTAACCTCAGTCGAAGGTTCCAGACCTGTGGCTCCTATCCCTCATCCCTTAACCGTCCCTTAAAGGGACCCTCCCACCTTCAAAAAAGTTAATGAATTGGCATAAAAGTGATGTAGCGTGAATCACAAAGAGCGAAAATGAACATCTACCAAATTTTACCGGAAAATATTCACCCGTTTTCGAGATATAAGACTTTTATTTTTGTTTACTTTTTGGGAAATCCGCTGTTTCTATGACGTCACATAAAGGTTTTCTTTACGTCGGTATTTGGAAGCAATAATTTGGTATCAAAGTGCGACAAATATTGCGCGAATGATGCGTTTATCTTATCAAGGTCAATATATGATGGCCAATAAAGGATTCCAGGACAATTCTTATGGCATTTCTTCGTATCGCAATTCTTCGTCTGCAAATCTTCGTCAGGGCATTTATTCGTACCTATCGCATTACTTTGTCTCGCACCAGAGTATATGAAAATCGGCTCGCATTTCTTCTTCAACGCAAATATATGCAAGAGTAAGCATTGAGGGACAAATAAATGCACCGACGAAGATTTGTAGACGAAGAAATGCGGACGAAAAATTGTGCTACGAAGAAATGTCATGCGAGGATTCGTTCGGGTACCATGACATTTATGTGATTTCAAAGTCAAGATTCACAGCTGATCTGCTAAATCAAGCCAAGAATCCAAACTATCAAAAAACTATAAATATTTGTTTGTCTGTCACAGAGGTCTCAAGCAATATAAGGTTGACATATGTTGAATCAAAAATTTACTGCCACAACTCACATCTCCTGCCTTAGTTTATCATTGTTGTTTTAACTTGCTTTCAAGAGAAACAGAAGCCAGTATCTGATATCACTTCAGATGATTGTTTCAAGATCTGAGTTCAAATGGAAATAAAAGCAAGATCAAGATGAAACAGGGATTATTGCTGTTAAAGTAGTTTGGCCATGATACAACAAGCACATAAATCATTAGCCAAATCAAATACTGGTTGGTTTGTCAAGATGTTTGTTGTCTGTCGTCTGTCGAGCTGCTATGAACACTGAACGCTCTCACTCTTACTTTAAAGAGAGTAGTTTAAGTTGAATGGTAGTGAGCTGTAATTAGACAAAGCAGCTATTCAGTGCTCACATCAAGCCAGGCTAGGAAATGGCATCAACTGTGGTGGGAGGAAGCAGGTTCGGCAGCCCTATGTTGTAAACTTCTGTTATGTCTTGTGTTTGATCAACTGATGTTTTCTGCTCTGTTTTGTGCAGTGATAGTAGCAGGTAACTGCATGCTTGTCAAATTATGTGAATAAACGAATTCATAACATTGCATTTTTCTCTCCATGCAAGGAACAAGTAAGATGTTGTAGAAAATGTAATAGAGGGCTGCATTGCTGATTTTGCACTTTATCAGAGCTTTATTTAGAATTGCTTTCCTGAAAGCTACACACAGGCCACAGTGCTGAAATTCACAATGTCATAGCTTTTGGCAGAAAAAAGAAAAGACTTACTTAGGTAAAATTGGCTGAAAGTATGGCAGAGCAGGTCTTGATGCGTATGCCCATCCGTGTGCTTGCCGAAGCCGAACTGACTGCAACACATTTAACTCTGACCCACCATGGTGGCTGGCATATCCTGAACTTTCACCACTCTAAACAAGAGAACTTTCAGCCCTCGGCATTGTATTAAAACACTGTACAAAACACTCAAAATTTGTTTCAGTGCCATCCACGGACAACATCAGTCGCCATTCACCAGGCCAGTAAAAACAGAATAGATAATAGCTTCAAACCCATGTAGTCAGAGTTACTAGGTCTGCACCTCAAAACAAAATCCAGGTGACATTCACCACGCCAGTAAAAAACAGGTACTTAGGTAACGTAACAGCTTCAAATCTGGTAACATGTTGGTCGGACTTTACACTACCATATTTACATGGAATAATATGATACCAAACAATAGTGCAACCATTCTGGACAACAAAAGTGTATGATAAAATTAATTTAGAATACTCTGGCTGGCAGCATGATTTACGAGCACAGGCAGGTGTTACCTACCAGCCTTCTCAATGCTCGTAAAACCAACATTGTAGTTTTGATTTTACCTTACATGATAACACACTTGGCTGCAATGGCACATTTAATTTAATACTGTGAAAAGACCAGTTATAACCACTTCACAAGCACAATTGCACCTCATGCCGACATCCTTTTCCAAAGACAGTCAGCAGCGTCTTTCGTCAAAACGAATATAAATCCCCTTTCAACTGTAAACATCAAAAATATTTCTTCATGGTGTGACTGTGATCTCCATATGGAAACCTTGCAGGAAAAGAATTAATGTCAATTGTCAGCTCTTCAAATTTCTTTGGACTTTAACTTGCAGTACCATATCCAGTTTGCTTTGATATTTTGTTTTTTAT